AAGCTCATAATTTGAACGAATTCCCGAAATCCAAGACTTTTGGAAAAGAAAAATTAACAACATATTTTGTATGTACGATTTACGTTTACGGCTTGATATTATTTGACAAGAATTATGAAATTATTATATACTTCTCGATTTTAATTAACATGTTATAATAAAATTGATTTATTAATTTTCAACATAAAAAAGAATTTGAAAAACTATTATTTTCTAGGTAATAAAAATGGATATTCTAAATGGAATTCTAATTCATCACGGTTAAACCATTGATTATAACATAATAAATAGGTATTAATTAAACTGATTAATACATAGACGTAAGACTCCTCGTAATAACAGAATAAAACATAGATAAGTTGTAGGTAAGTACTTATGATTTATTTGGCTATGAGGTGGCCCATTGACTGTAGTATCATATACATAATTTTAAGATACTTATCACTAAATAATAATTTTTAACTGTTTCAACAATAAAATAAATAAACAAATAAAGACTCACTAATAAATATTGAGGTGTCAATAAATAAACACAACGGCGTAGGTAAAGATTACTTATGGGAGGGTTAAATATATGTAAATTATAAATATTTTTATTATTACCTATTTACTAGTTTTATTACCTGTGTACAATACAAAATCATTTTTCTATTGATAAATCGTTTTTATTTATATTTATTACAATAATTTATTGATACATACACTAAACATACATTCACATGTTATTGTTATGTGATTGCAATGGTGATGGTGGGTAAGGGGTTGGTAATGTAGAATCATGGTGTAAACACAAAATAGAAGGACTGTGACAATGATTGAGGGATGGGAACGGGGGAGTTCAGATTGACGGTGTATTGACAGTGAATAGGTACGACAACGGTGCGGTGGTGATGACGATGATATATCGTTTTCCGCGACGTAATCGATCAACTAACCACGGTGCGAATGATTGGCATTCGTTAGCGGCAAAATATAGAGTATATACATACATACATATATATATAAATAGATAGAGAGGAAGAGTGAGAGATAGAGAGAGATCAACAAAGAGAAAAAGACACAGAGGGTGGTGAGAGAAAAAAACAAATATAGAACGAAAGGTTGAGACGAATGTTGGGCAAAATGAGAAACATAATATGGGGTGAGAAGGGGAAAGACTCTATAAGATAAATGAACTTCTAACGCGCGAAGAGCCATTTAGCTTCCGTATTTTCGCGGGGTGTAAAATAATTGTCCGAAAGAAAATGACAGTGCCATTCGTGACTACAGTTTAATCGAAAGCGGTAGTTTGGCGGCAGTGGTTTATATACTGGCATTACGGACAGCAGCATTTGATATTGACATAATGAAAATTGATGCGGCAACGACGACGGTTGCTAATAATATAATATATCCTCTACCCTCCACAACGGTGGTGGCGTTTAAATGTTTGCACACCAGAGGTCAAAAGATATTCAATTATTGCTGCCCGCTACTCTTTCAGCTCCTATACCTATATTTTTATAATAATGTACTGTTTTGGGCGGCTGATTCGTTCCGCACGAGCGATACAATTAATCGTCCATATTTCTACTGTAAGTTCTCTCGTGTCCGGCCGTCTAAAATAACAAACGTCACAATCGACATAGTAATATTACACGTAAATATATATATATATATACACATACATATGGATCGTTTCACCGTTGTAATTGTTCATAACGTTTATAGCTAAGCTACCCTTAGCATTACACTGCAGTGGAAGCGAGGTTTTTCACCTCGTTTTTTCCAAACAGCCCTTCAACCAGTTTTACCGTTTCTACTTATTGATCACTTCTCAATGAGCTACACGTTCGTTCAACGTATGAATTGATGTATCGTAAGCATGTCTTAGATTCGAAAGCTTATCGTATGCAATACTAATGTGTACTTTTTATATGACATTACATGTTTTCGGAAGCACATACAGAGATTACATTTAGCCAGAAGAAGCGTAAACATATGTAACCTGCACTCTTAAGAAATTTTAAAATTATTACTACAGCCCACACAATTATACGAACTGATGCCCTTTTTACAAATAACATTTGTACATAGTGAAATAATATAACGTTAAATTAGCTATTTGACAATAAAATACATATACATCAATTACAGATAATTAAGATATAACATGGCAATACTTTAAAATAATATTATATATAAGAAAAAGACACGCAAAAAGAATAACAATAAAATTGTTTAACTAATATTCAAAATAGACTGGGTCCTCATTGGCAATATGCAACATTCTAAAAATGGGTCGATTACAGGAATAGTTGGTAGTGCACATTGAAACGTAAAAAGGATAAGATGAACGTGACTGAAAACTAGGAACCTTGAAATTAATTTAGCTTAATAATTCAGGACAATTAATACATTTTCTTATTAAAAGCTTTATTAACACATATACTTCTGTAAACTAGGGAAGAAAGCCTTAATTTGTTTAGTATTGGCTTATAATCGTGTGGTAGATGGTCAATTTTGAATATCCAGACAGCAAAACAAAAAAAATTATGTTGAACCCTTTCAATCTGGCTAGCGTTATTTGCAGTGTGAGGTTCCCATGCAACAAAAGCATACTCTAATATCGATCTGACGAGCGCACAGTATAATGCCTTAAGCGAAGGAATCTGATTAAATTTTCTAGGGAACCTTTTTATGAAGACAAGTGTTTTTAGATTCTTACAACATGAAATTTCAATATCGCTATAAAATAATAATTCCTGATCAAATGTGATTATATATAATCCGTTATCAGAAAATCATTAATAGTGATCAAAAAATCAATGTTATAAATTTTGCGATAAAAAAATAATAATAATAATAAACTCAATAAAACTACCGACCCTAACATTGTTGAAATGTTGCTGCTGAGAGGCATTCGCACCCTTCCTTCCCCTAAATGCGCCACTAATTATCATTTTTCTTACGCACAGACACCGATGATATTATGTTGTATAGAAGAGTATGTAGGTCAGTGATGAGATGACATTCGTTAAATGCAAGACACTTATGAGTATAATTTACATTGGCATGTGTCTTACGTTAGATGAATCATTTCGCAGCAGCAAATGAACAGAGTATATAGAATCTGTACGACGAATGACGTAACAACTATTTTGTACCAAATAAAACTTATCGATATCATTATTTTATGAGAAGAAATGATCATTGTAACTGACTTATTGCATGCAAAAAAAACTAAAAACTTTTAAAGTAAAATTATATAGTAGTAATAAACGTGTGTTTACAAAAAAAAAAAAATACATGCATCTCATTAATAATTAATCGCAGTAATATCAACCGTGTAATGTATAAAGTACATTTTTTTTAATGTAACTTTTTCAATGTAATTTTTTCTATAAAAACATTAGTAGTTTTTTTCTTTTAGAATCAGTTTATCCTTTTTTTTTATAAAAATAACTAAGAACAATATATTTTTTAACCCACAATTTTGTAATACTTTTTTTTCTATTAAGGTCCGATATATTTTACTTTTTTTTTATAATACTTGTTATTTATATTATTATTATTATAATTATCGTTACTTTTTTTTTTTTTAATTTATTCACAACAACTTAGGGTTATATATTTTCCGTACGCTGGTACCTGTGATTTCTGTGTAAAAGCATAATCTCGCCGCTCAAATCCCGGGTGGTCACTCATCTGGGAATTAAAAATATCGGACGTAGCTTAGCCATAGAGCCAATTGGTGAACTGTACTGCATCATCCAATGTCTCTATGTAATAATCGTACATACTTTATAGAAGGCAACAGTAGTACAATGCACACATTGGTTATACATTTCCGGAGTAACGCGTACAATATGCGTAAAACGATATAAAATAATATGTATAATGATATAGTATATATGTTCAATTATGGGATTAAGTGATTTAATTGTACCCATGAATGCAGTCGAAAAATCACTTGCCTTGAGTTATTTCTAATTTAATGTCGATTTCGAATATTTTTAAGCCGTACGGTAATACATGCAATAAGAAAATAATTCAAGAACGATTTCATTAAAGGATTTTACTTTGATAAAATTGAAACAATTTCCTTCATTTATGTTGTGTTGTTTAATTATATCTGACGGAAAAAGTTTTCTTGTTGTGCGTATTATGCGATATCTCAAAGCTCCGGCGTGCACTAAGTAATTAAAATATATACGTACACGATTCATCGCACGCGGTAATGTTATCAGGAGATTTAAACAAAAGTAGTAATATCGTTTCGTTTTCCATACGAGCTACCGATTATTTTCGATCCTGTCCTTCTATCACGGCTGCAGCACTGTGTTTTCAACCTACACGCTCGTATGTATACGATGATCAAAAGTTCATAAATATAACGATTTGACGTCAACGAGTAACCCGTTCGCGTGACAACCTAACTGTGGTGGGAACATAGCTCGTGGGTTGATCATCAAGAATCCGTGACTACTACCGATGACCATTATTATAATTTATCACATGGATTATTATAGATAACTTATGTGTATTTCAGATGCGAGTACCTGGGTCCATTTGATTATACTGTCTTGACAGCTATTATTATTATTATTATTATTATTATTGTTATTCAATACTAGTGTAAATACACATTCTTTATACGTTTTCGATGTCAATTCCGTGAATGACAATAAAATTGAAACGCACACATGACCCATATAGTATACTACATAATATAATTTAACGAATTTAATGTGAGTCGAACGTCCCTTTGTATTGGATAGAGTTCTAAAAATAACATTGGAAAAAATAACAAACACAATATTGAAACTTATTTCGTATCGTTCAATGTATTTTTTAGTATATGATTTTTATTGATATTCCTTAAATGCATTATTTATGCATATTTTATACGGTTACTGCATTTTTTAAAATGGAATATATACAAAGATATAAGTCAATATGTCATATATTTTATAATACCGTAATCGTATATTTATTTGTTTTATTTTCTATTTTTATAGGTTACACATGGTCAAGGAATAAATTTTGATCGATAGGCACCAGACTTTTTCCAGTACATTTTTTGCATCCAGGTTAGTTGATACTGATAAACAATCTATGATATTGTAGTGTTCAATTTAAATATGTGATATATTTCTATATTAATCCTATAATTTTAAAACTTCGAACTTGATATATTTGTATCCATCACAACACCATGTAATTGTACGTACCCGATGACCAATGCTTTGTGATTACAAAACAGTCTCGTTCAATGCCCACTCGGGATTTCAAAGGTCTTAGCAAACTAATAGTTATGATTATGTGCTATAAAAACGACGTGCTATTTTTTTTATAATTACAGCAGTTTCATAGAGAAAATCGACCATTCAGATAATATTAATGTTATTTGGAGAACGGTTTCAACAGTAATTTTTAGAGGTACATTTTATAAATACTACCTTTAAAATTAATAAAAATTAATCCTTCGCTGAAGCCGATGTTAAAAAGATAGATAGTACGGACTACTTATTTATCTCCAACGTATACATTTTACTTTTTTAGTATAAAAAAATATAATAGAAAATGTTCCTGCGAGTATATAATATCACAGCCGTGGGTGAGCAGGGACCCTTGAGCACCCAGACTTTAAGGACCCTTTTACAAGCAAAAGTATTACACATATTTACTAATTTACAAATTATAATACAAATTTGAAATTTGAAACGATATTTTAATACTTATTTCTTTATTCAAAAATTAATGATATTATTTTATCACAGAAATATAATAATAAATAACCTTGTTACCACTGTACTTGCCTATCACTGTGTGTCGAAAACTTGTTTAATCAAATTTATCGCTAAATAAGTGAACGTCATAAATTAAATTATTTTAATGTTGAGTCAAATATTATTTAATATTATTTCTTAAATATAACATATTATCTAAGCCTAAGAGTGAAATATTTAATTGAGATAGGTTGCGTTAATACGTTACAACGTAAATACCTGAATTAAATTTTTTGGAGCCTCTGTCGTTAGGGGGTCTTGGGCTCGTGCCCCACGTGTATTCAAGGTATAGCAGGTATTGTATATTATATAAGGTTCGTATACAATCCAATCAATGAAAGAATAAGGCAAAATAAATATAAACTAGTCATGAACCACACAAGAAATGAGCCTCAGGAAAAAGATGGACGCCGCAATATGCGACAAATGTAGTGTAGCAGCGATCGTGCAAAACTTATTGTTGTGTGTGTACGATATTTAAAAACGCTATTACTACATAATTCGCTAATAATCGCTGGGGAACTTGGCGTGAACTTGGCCGAATCATTTGAATCACAGACTTTTATTAAAATTCAAATATCCGTATTATTTCGATGTTACATCTTAATATAATTTATATTCAATTGCAACCATAAATACCATTCGGTGTACGTCGTAATAATATGTGCTTAAATGTATGAGTTGAGAGATATTTTTTTGAGTCGAAGTCGGTGATTCATGGTCGGCGAGTGAAGGATGTGAACGATGTAAGTCGTGGACGAATACTATTATAAACATTCAATCCCATTGCATAGTATTAGAATGGTTTGTACAAATCCTTGAATTTGAATATACCTCTGAATTCTATTTGTTGATTATTAATAGTCTGATGTATTTATATATATTTTTTCATACCATTAAAGAAACTTCAATCGAACGTAAAATATAATGAAATAAATTATCATATTTCGTTTTTTATTCAGTAATCAGTTATGCGTATCGTTTTATTTGAATCGCGATCCTTACGGTTGTGTTTTAAATTCAAAAAGTTGATATGAGTAATTTTCTGTGAACTATTTACGCCAAATTTCGGCACTTTCTTGGCATTATTATGGTAATAATCCCTGTTCAACGTAATCGAATCGTATTGTGAATCAAGCAACGTGCCAATTTACGATTAAAAGAATCGGCAACAATAACTTGGTGAGATAAAAAACAAAAAACGCAAAATCGAATTTTCGAGTATACGTTTTCCTACATTATTATGTTGAACAACATGAAAGATAAGCTTATTAAAACAAGAACGACCAGAAATGAATCGATATGTCAAGAAATTGAGAAATTTCCCGATGGAAAAGATTTCCTATACACTACTAAATTTAACTTTTTGTCATATATTTTGGGTACAATCGAAATTTTATCTGAAAAAAATAAGTTGTTTTAAAAGAAAAATATCACCCCTAACTCTTGAGTATGACGGCATAATCATTCGACGAACGTTCGATCGTTACACTAAACGTAATAAAAAATCATTAGACAGTTGGACTACATTTTGTATTCATACTTACGAGTTACTTTATATATATATATAAATAAGATTTCTTCGAATGCATTTCACCTTCAATACGTACCAAGCATTAATTATTCTTGTTCACAAATCTCATTTCGAACTCTGTGTTGCATTAGCTTGCATTCATTAATAAATACGTCAAGAAATTGATCTCAGCATCCAATTGTATTATTAAAAAAAAAATAAAGCCCTTGCGTATCACGTTACTCGGTGCATTTTACACTCAGCAGTTATGCTGGGGAATAGCTGACTTCAAGTGTCAGTCAGCCAAAAACCATTATTTTTTTATGAAATTAATGAGAGTTTATTTGGATTATATGTTTGTAACTTTATTCACTAGAGCACCGATGACGTCAATGGTATACCGTTTCTTATTTAAACGACGAGCATTGTTCTTTTTGATGGAAATGATTTATACACCGTACACGTATACACACTACGATTTATTTTCTCTTCAAAATTATATTACGGTTTCAAAGTTGAAGAACGTAAAAAAAAAGGTGAAGAAAAAAAGTTATTTGTTGCACACTAGACCAAAGCGGTTTCGAGGTGTTTATTTTCTCACATTTTAGCTTCAAAGGAATTAAATATAAAAAATATAATGATGTAAGCAATATAGTACATTTTGTCTCTGTCTCTCTATTTCTCTCTTCCACTCTCTTTCTCTTTCCTTTCGGTTTCCCTTCAAAAAAAAAAAAAATATTTCAATAATTATTTCTTATAAATACATTCCACTTAAAAATACATAAATTTACATTTTAAGCGATTCGCAACAGGTGTAAAGGCTTTTATGCGAGCTGACGATAAATTATCGGCTAAAATATACATGAATATTTGTTTTAATCAAGCAAGAACTTCTGTGAACACGAACGAGTGTGGTTTTTTGTATCGTTGAGTGGGTTCTATACACGTGCCATATCTGGGGCGGTCAAATGGTCGATCGTAAACGATTTTAAAGCCGATCTTGTTAGAATTAATATTTAGGCTACACACACGAAAATTAATCAAAAATATCCGTGTTTGAAGCTTTTCAGTTGCATATTCATTTTAGGCCTACATTTGTGTGCGAAACAGCATATACTCACATGGAAATGATAAAAACTGAATATCGAGCAACACTCTCTGGTGACCATTTGGAACAGAGCCTTTGACTAATAGTCGAGATTACGATCAATTGGTCCGCTAAATGCAATATCACACTTCAACAATATCCAGATCACCAAAATAATATGATAGTTGGACTTTAGTAATTAATTTATATAACTTTATATAATATATAAAGTTATATAAATTAATTACTATTAAATATATGATGTTGATATACACTTAATGCAAGTACGTTTCTTAATAGTTATAGATACTTAACAATAAAAATAACTTTTTTATGTGTGTCGATCTTCACAAGTGAAGTATATTTTTAGTAGATCGCGACCAAAAAAAAATAATAGCCACCCATGTGTAATATATGATATGATATATCGTAAATAATGTTATATTTATTGTAATTCGAATTTATCGGTCGATGGTCAGCCTGACTCGACAGTGACGATTTTGTGTGTGTCGATATTTGTGACTAGAAAAAGCGCTTATTTTTTATCCACTACAGGTAAATAAACAAAGTAACGATGAGTCTATGTTGGCGTGTATATGCACAACACAGGTAAGAAAGACGACATTCGTTGGGGATTTGTGAGAAAGAAAAAACAGATCGTTAGATGACGACTTGCCGTAACTGTATACACGGCTGTGCATTCAATAAATAAATACGCGTATCACCATTCTAAGACAGATTTTAATGTGCGTATAACATGTATGTTATGAACGATCCGGAAAATAAAAATTCCGATACCCGGGGACGCGCGTTTCCGTTTTCTCATTCATATTATCGATTGCGTATGACCGTAGTGGTATTATTGTTTTCCTGTCGGTATTAACCGGTGATGTTGCTCGCCGCCGGACGACTGTTGTAAATCCGCATGTTACCGGGGGGCTCTGCACGTCCGAGAGATGTGCTCACGTGTGTGCGTGTGAATAACGTGAGTGGACGGGGTTGAGAACAAGACGCTGTAAGGATCGCGCGAGTAACGACCGAAAGGATGAAATCGATCGAACCCATTCACACTAACGTTCACACATACGGCATGGGCATTTATTAGCGAACGGCTGCTGGCCAGGAGAGTTGTGTGTGCGTGCGTGAGACCGTGTACGTTTCGATAAATGCTGTTATACAGTATATATTAACTGTGTGATTTACGGTTCAATTGTATACGTGTGGTTTGACGGTACCAGCTGTCGACTGTAAATTGCTTTTGTCCTCCTCCTTCTCCTTCTACCCCTTCCAGCGTATCGACATACATGTACATATATCCGGGAACAAGTGCGAAAGACGAGCTGCTGTTGATTCCGGACGAGCAGCATCCGCAAAAACCACTACGGATACTGATATATAGTTTTGATATTTTCCTGCTCTGTCGGTCACTTCTTCTTTTCGTGAATTTTTAAAAATATTTTTTCACACGGCTACTAACTGGACGCGAAGTGTACTACAACATTTAAAACGTTGAAGATACTTTTTACATTTGGGTTTCGACAACTTCAGTACCTATTGATATTATTGTCGATAGTACCCTATTTTAATTTAAAAAGAAATTCAAACAACATAAGCGTTGACTCTTGGTAGGCTTTGGTATATATATATATGTGTGTGTGTATATAGTTTGCAAAATGTTAAAATGTTATAGTACTCTTGTAA